AAATTTGAGGAGGGACGCACTTCAGCCTGTAACAGCAGGATATAGTAAGAAAACATCAGAACTTCCATTTAGATTTATTTTTTAAGAAGCTAAAACTTAAACTTGATGAAAGCTTAATAAATGGATTCATAGTTTAACGTATCACAATGGAAGTGCACATAATTTTGGGATACATGCTCAAAAATTGTTCCTGCTAAAGCAGCAAAATTAAAGAAGTTTGGAGACCACGGGCCTAAGGCCTCAGGCTACAGTGGACAGCAGGGAAAGGCTGGAAGATGGGTATGGAGGGACACTGGATGGCTCAGTTGGCTCTGTTGGTGGAACAGGCAACTTTTTTTTTTTTTTTAAGGATTTTATTTGTTTATTTAACAGAGATCACAAGTAGGCAGAGAGGCAGGCAGAGAGAGGAAGGGAAGCAGGCTCCCCATTGAGCAGAGAGCCTGATGTGGGGCTCAATTCCAGGACCCTGAGACCATGAGCTGAGCCGAAGACAGAGGATTTAACCCACTGAGCCACCCATGGAACAGGCAACTCTTGATCTCAGGGTTGTGAGTTTGAGCCCCACATTGGGTACAGATATGACTTAAAAATAAAATCTTTAAAAGAAAAAGAGATGGGTGTTGAAATTGAATAGGTATCAATTACCATCTGCAACTAAAGAGAGGTGACACAGGGCCAACCTGGGGATTAGACCAGAGCAGCAGTGGAAGGAGAGAGCCCCAGAATGGGTGAGCGGTCAGGAGTCGGCAAAGAGAGTGAACGTGACTGATTACCAAGGGAAACCTTCTGAATGCTCCATGTGCCGGGCTGCAGCCCTCTTCTTCCTTACATGTTCCTACCTGTAAACTCCAGCTGGTTAAGAGACTTGCTCTGGATGACAAATGTGAGCAGAGGTGACCCCTTCCTGTTACGAGCAGTGCCTCCTAGCCAGCACACGGGCCACTGCTCCCTGTCCCATTCTCCTCCCTCCACGATTCTGTCATGGAGAAGACATGGGACAGAGCCATAGCGGACACCTGATGGTCATGTTGTATGAGTGACAAATACAACTTTGTTGTTATCAATCCCCAGGAGTCGAGGGCCATTTGTTTTTGCAGCTAACTCAGCCTATGCTGACCAATCTAGCACACTTTTCTTATACACAGAACTTAGCAACAATTTCATACCTACTATAGCATAAAAGTCGGGGCGCCTGGGTGGCTCAGTCAGCTAAACGTCTGCCTTCGGCTCAGGTGATGATCCCGGGGTCCTGGGATTGAGCCCAGCGTTGGGCTTCCTGCTCCCTGCTTCTCCCTTTACCTTTCTCCCGTGCTCATGTTCTCCCTCCCTCTTTATCAAATAAATATTTTTAGTATTTTTTTTAATTTTTCTTTTTTTAATTTTATTTTTTATAAACATATAATATATTTTTATCCCCAGGGGTACAGGTCTGTGAATCGCCAGGTTTACACACTTCACAGCACTCACCATAGCACATACCCTCCCCAATGTCCATAACCCCACCGCCCCTCTCCCAGCCCCCCTCCCCCCATCAACCCTCAGTTTGTTTTGTGAGATTAAGAGTCACTTATGGTTTGTCTCCCTCCCAATCCCATCTTGTTTCATTTACTCTTCTCCTACCCCCTTAACCCCCCATGTTGCATCTCCTCTCCCTCATATCAGGGAGATCATATGATAGTTGTCTTTCTCCGATTGACTTATTTCGCTAAGCATGATACCCTCTAGTTCCATCCACGTCGTCGCAAATGGCAAGATTTCATTTCTTTTGATGGCTGCATAGTATTCCATTGTGTATATATACCACATCTTCTTTATCCATTTGTCTGTTGAAGGACATCTAGGTTCTTTCCATAGTTTGGCTATTGTAGACATTGCTGCTATAAACATTCGGGTGCACGTGCCCCTTCGGATCACTACGTTTGTATCTTTAGGGTAAATACCCAGCAGTGCAATTGCTGGGTCATAGGGTGGTTCTATTTTCAACATTTTGAGGAACCTCCATGCTGTTTTCCAGAGTGCTTGCACCAGCTTGCATTCCCACTCAAATAAATATTTTTAAAAAATCAACCAGTCATGAAGAAATGCCAGCTGGAGGCCGCTACTGTGATGTAAGTTATCCTTTAGTTGCTGGATCTTGGGCACTTGGGGTCTCGGGGATGGGGCGGAGGTAGCCAGGGTCAGGAGGAAGAGGGACTGCCACTTCCAGGCCGCACGGAGGGACTGCAGTCCGATCCGCCGGCGCTTCCCAGCTCACAGCAGATCTAAGGATTGGCATTTCCTAGCCAATCCAGTTCCCACGTAATTTCATAGCAGCGGACTCACTTCAGAGAGGAGCCAGCCACAAGTTTACTTTCTTTTCCATTACAGCTATGAATTCCTCAGGCCTGGGTGTTTGGCATTGACATCTTTGCTGCTGAATTATTCTTATTATTGTCATGACTCCATGGTACATCTGAGGCTCATGGGCACAGGAAAAGGCAGGAAAACGCGGACGTCCACAAGATTGGATCTGGGTGGTGAGGGGCCGCAGATCACAGACAACCCCGCGAGACCCATCTGTGCCTGGTGATACTCTTTTCCCGGGTGACACGGCTGTGACGAGCGGCCACACTTGCTAAACGAAGGCACTGGCGACACCAATCCTTATTTTAAAGACTTTGTATTTAAGAGATTCGATTTGAGGGGAGAAAGCACACAGCACCTGCCAACCAACGGCTCACCCCCACCTTGAACAACAAACCAGAGATTCATTCTCCCGACTTACTGTGCAGAAACGAAACATTTTTCTAATACGTGGCTGACTTCCAGAGACTGATGAGCAGCTAAGAGTCAGTGTGTGCGCGCTTGAGTGCTTGGGACGGCCGTTCATTCTCGGCCGACTGCGCGCGCTGGCAATGGCAGCTAGTGGGCTGCCAAACGCCCTGGTGATTACAAATTCCTTAGCCCTACAGAGTGTCCAACCATTAGGCAGAATAGCCCACCATATCGCTGCATTTTTCCAAGCACTCCATCACCAAACCTAGAGAATTCAAGCCCCCCTATTTGCAGAAAGTTTATTTTTAAAAATTTGCCAGAGAGATCATATCTCAGTCAACTCTGTAGCCTCAGCTCCAGCTCAGAGGCTTAAACCAAGTGAGTGTCACGTGTACGTGTGGAGAACAAGTGGACAAACACTTCGGAAGATGAACAGACCAATTTCTCCATTTCTAGGGGCAGACTCACTAGGCAATATGCCACGATCATTTGATGAATGTTCTTTGATAGTTAAAATTGGAGAGCAGCCCCCAATGCACAGAAGCTAACGTCATGTAACATTTTTTTAAATTCACATTTACGTGTTTTCTGTTGATTTATGCACGCGCTGGTGAGTTTCAGGCACAACACGAAGTCTATGCAATACTGACACACCATTCATCCCGGAAGCCATTCACACTCGTTTGAATTAGAAAGTTCCTAAAAGGCTGTGGAGCAATTGCTAAACAATGTCCCGAACCTCACGACATTCAAATGCAGACTGTCCCTCAGAAGCTGCTCACTGTGGCTTTGCACACAATTCTGAGACACTTACCTAGTGGGCCTCCAGGGCCACCGCAGAGTGGCCTGAGGAAACCGGAAGATGGTGAAAATAGCCTTTTGGCTCCCAGGCGGCCTGGAAGCAGGCAGGCGGGAGAAGGACACCTAAAATGGGATCTCAGGTGAACCTGGGAAGGTCAGAGGCCAGGACAAAGAAATGTCAGAATTAGAATCACATGTGAGGCACAAGGCTGTAAACCCTGAAACAGGGGAGTTGAAGCCGAACAAAACTGAAAAGGAAAACACAGTTCAGAATGGTCACTTAGGTCAAGTGCTCCAGGCAGAGCCCCGTTGTGTCTCTCACCACTGGGCCCCTGATCACCTGCCCTCTGGAGGCAGGGGATGGGGTCTTTCTCCACTGGCCAGCTCTCCCCAGTTGGCCATGAGGCAGAACTGACACCTTTGGGGAAATCATTCATTCATTCAATTTTAATTATACACCAACTTGTGCCAGGCACAACTGAATGGGTAGGGGGACACATCAGGAAACAAAATGGCTTCTGCCTTCATGGAACTTAGATTAAGAGGGTAGAAGCAAGGGTTTCTGATGAACTGAAAATGAGCTCTGTAGCTTAAATCTACCACATCTCAAGGGCCTGTGGTCTGCCCTTCCTGGGGGGGTTGGGAAGTCAATTTTAGCAACTGGGTTTGGAGTGGTAAGAAGTGACAGTTTGATTTCAAGGACATAGTAGAACCAGAAAAAGCAGCCCCCAAAGGCAAAGATCTTAGCCTCGGAGTACATGCAAACAGGTGCCCATAGACCAGCCCTTCTTGTTCAAGGGCTGTTCGATTACTAATTTTCTGAATGACCCCTGTATCCAAGTGTCTGTTTAGTTTAGTTTGCTTAAAGCAGCCAGGAAGTGTACAGAATTTTACAAAAAATTTCCAACCAGAATGTTTTTCTAATGGTCATTAAAGAAAAAAAAAAACTCATTTACATAGAAAATTTACCTCCTCAAAGGAAGGTTTCGTTCAGAGCTAAAGTTTCCTAATCCTGGATCTCCAGGAAGACTGAAAGCAATTTCTCACGCGGCTCATCATGTTCAGAAATCCCTTTACAATTTGTTAATAGATGTCCGAACCCATTCGAATGTTCAAATTAATCCACACAGTACAAGCTGGAGGTTAGGGCCCGACAGGAGAATGGCTGTTGCATATTTGTTTTGTTTTAGTTGCTGCGTCCTGTGAGCCGCCGGGATACTGAGCGGGTTCCCACGGAAACCACCGGGGGTGGGGTGGGGTGGGGGAGGACCCGAGGAGGGGCGGATCCCGAGTTCCCGGCCCCGCTACTCGGCCGTGGGAGGGGCCCTAGAGCGGGGTGGGTCCGGAGCGGGGTTGGGGGGGCGCGGGGCGGGTTGGGGGGGCGCGGGGCGGGGCGGGAGGTCGAAGGGCGGAGCCTGAGTGCGCCTGCGCAGTGCGCGCTACTCAGGAAGGCGGAGGCGACGCGCAGGAGGGAAGATGGAAGACTACCAGGCTGCGGAGGAGGTAACCGCCGGGTCGGGAAATGGAAGGGTGAAAGCCGAGAACGCCCGGCGCAAGTGGGCGGCAACAGCCAAGGGCGTGTGTGGGCTTCCAGGCCGCGTCTGGACGTGGGCGGCGGCAGTCTCCGGGGCAGACTGATGGTACCAGCGCTGCGCGGTGACCCCCGGCCGGGCCTGCTCCGGGCGTCGGCGCCGGGCCCGGGCAGGGGCTCCCCGCGTGGCGGCGTGCGCCCACTCTTTCTTCCGGAAGGGGTGCCGCAGCCTTGGGATTTCTACCTGGGGCGGGACCTCTCCCGTCCCTGGCGCCCCCTGCCCGCCCCATGTCCCGAGCCAGCCGGTGCCGGCCGCGCCCCTGGCCCCGCCAGGTCGCGAGCCTGGTTCCGCGCGGGCCTGCCACGCCCCCGACCTGCCGCACCCCCTCGGCCAGCCGCTACCCGAACCTGGCCCAGCGCCGGCCCGGCACGCCCCCGCCCCGCTCCACACCAGCTGCTCCGCAGCGCCCCGAGTCTGGGCTCCGCGCGGACCCGCCACATCCCTGACCCGCTGCACTCCCGCTGCCGGCGAAACCTGGCTCCGTGCCGCCCCGCCACGCCCCCGATCCACTCCACTACCCCCCTCCTGCTGCCCCTCCCGACCCTGCTCCACGCAGCCGGGCCCGCCGGGAGGCTGCTATCACTCCCTCCCTTTATTCGGCGGTGCAGACCCCCACCCTGGACTAGGTGCTCCGCGTCTGCGGGTGGGGAAGACTGAAGGCCGCATGTGTGTCTGCTGATGTTTTAACGCAAGACTCCAGAATGACATGCACGCGTGACACGCAAATGCAGTCGCATCTTTCAGGTCTCAGGCTGTGTGAGAAATGCAGAAGCGCACTGTAGGAGAGCCTGCCTTTGTCTGCCGGCCGAACCTTGTTCTTCAGTTCTGAGCTTATACCCACCACGGCTGCCATCACTTAAGTTTCATTTTCAATTTGAGTTTGAGATGTCAGTGTGAGAGCTCCTATTTGTGGGGGAAAGACAATCTCTCATTGCCTCAATGAAGAAGCAAGGTAAACCACACAATTACTTGCCGAGCAGCAGACATTTATTCTAACGGTGTGCTTCCCTTCCGTTTAACACGCACCAGGGAGTATAGCTGATGGGAGCTATTATAGAAAAATAGTTGCCCGTTTTGTTCTTGCTAAACAATAATTCTCGTTGAAATTGAAATAAGTTGAGTCCTACATATTATGCAGACTGTCAAAAATAAAAGCTATAGGTGAAGTTGGTAAGGTTTGATACTTTACCATTTTTGAAACAGTGTAAGCAGGAATGTTTGGAGGGGAAAGAAAACATCTAAGACTTAAGGACTGATGCTAGAGTTTCCGTTTTGATCTGATTTCCTAAGTACCACACGAATGGCCGCGTGGTATCAGTGTTTGACTGCTGCGAACAACCATTATGAGTAATTATGAGAAGACATGGTTCAGGAGCATCTAGCAAAGGAAAAGCTTTTTCTCCATAAACTAACTAATTTAGGAAAATAGCTTGTATTATAGGGATAGCCATAAAACTTAAAAAAAAAAAAAAAGAAATGACACTGTAAGAGAAATCTCTTAATACTGGCATTCTAATTCTGGCTCCCACCAAATGGGGTGGCTAAGGGACTTCATCATTCCAGATCTCACTTGCAGATCTGTGAATTGAAGGGCTGAACAGAGTGTCTGTTTACAGGAGATAAAGGCCTAGGCCCTTAGGAAGATGAGACCTTGACTTTTTTCTAGTAGGGGTGCCTTAGGTATTTGCTAATCCATGCCACTCTCTTCTGAACTAGCCTTTTCTGCTTAGCCTCTGACTTCACGTACATACCTGGACCTTTGTAAGACTACTCTCAACTCATTGTTCTTATTTCTTAAAGAAGCTGAAACTGCCCAGGGGATTCTGTACAACTCCACTTTCCACTAAAAGTCCACTGAAATGCCCTTCAACCTTTTTCCTAGTTAGCCGCGTGGCTAGTTACACAGGGACATTTCCGTATGGTTTAGTATCATGGAAGTCCCTGGAAGGATCCTTTAAATCTCAAGAAATCATTTGATCTGTAAGATCCTGCAAATTTTCATTCATTTGGCAAGTTGGCTTTGTCTGCAAGCATGCCAGCTCGTGAGTACAGCAAGTGAGAGGGCTTCAGGCAGTCTGCACTCGATCCTATGGAGAGAAAAGGCATGGCGTGGACAGAGCCCTGGTAGTTGGCATCCAGCAGGCAGGAAAGCTCACTGCCAGAAGCAGGGCACTCTGACTTTATTCCACCAGGATTCACAATGACTGAGGGCCTGGGGCTGCCCTCTAGAAGGCATGTCCCGAGCTAAGTACTGTTCGCAGCACTCAGAACCTTGTGCCCTTTCACATGTACCCTATGTAAAAAGGAAACCATCTTTAAGCTCCTGCCATTAGATTACCGGTGGCAGCCCGCCTCCCTGTGCACCCTGAGGCACTGGTGGAGAACAGCTGTACCAGCAGCTGGTGCTGTCCTGAAGTAGGACAACATTAAAAAGGACACATAATCCTGGGGAAGTAGTAGTATCGTATACTTTTATCACTAACGGTGGATAAAAACAAAACAAAACGTTTTTAAGTTTCAAACCTCCTAATCAGTTTACATCAGGAAAGGTGTCAGCTAATTTAAACAAAAGTCAAGGAACTCGTTAAACTTCTGGTTTGTTAATGATGCTATTCAGCCAGTTGAAATGGAGAGAGAGATTGAATCTAAAGTCAGGTCAGCCTTTTGGTCCATGGCATGATTAAAACAAACCAAAGCCCTTTAAGTTATATACATACTCTGGACTCCTGACAGCCTCTCACCTGCTCTGTGGTCCTCAAAGAGCCACTCGGCATTTCTGAGTCTCTTGGTAAAATGAGAAATTTAGTTTGGTTCTAAGTCCTCATTTCTAAATTGTATTCATTACCTAACGTTGCATTAATCAGTGCAGTGGAAACCGATCTTTTAAAGCCATCAAACTTAACTAATTTTCTTGCTTACAGACTGCTTTTGTCGTCGATGAAGTGAGCAACATTGTAAAAGAGGTAAGAGGAAGAATGCTTGTTTTTAAAATGTTGATTAATGGCTTTATGAGTGAAAATAATGTGTTCTAAATGCTATCTTGGAATTGTTTCAACTGAGCCTGTGTGTTTTGGCATTTCAAATAACAGTTTTTACTTCAGTGAATATGTAGATAAGAATTACTCCCATATTATGTAAATTATATATTTTAAACCAGACAGGAAAAGTAATATATTAGCATTATTATCGAATATTACTAAGACTTGATCCTGTAACCTTTTAACATAAAAGACTTGTGGTCATGGTATACAAGTAAATGTTTCTGGTGTCGAATAAAGAGTGAATATAAAAAACTGATTAACTTCCAGTTACTTACGACCTGATGATCCAGGTGGGGCTTACCCGTTTGTCTTATATTCCTGAACTACCTATTTCATCATTTTTCACCATGGTACCTCCCTTACATGATGGCAGTGGAAGACAAAATGGGGTATCTGTTCTTCATTCATTGGAAAAATATGTATCAAGGGGGCATTAGGGACTGACTATCAAGAGGTTTACAGTACAGGGCGGGCGCTGGCAGGCACTTACCAAATCATCACACCAGAAAATGTAACCGTGGATTCCCTGTGTGTACTGTGTGCCACCGTACATGGTGCTGTGAGGGATCGGACTCACCTGGTGCGTTCACAGCTAGAATCTGGAGAATGAACAGGAGTCGTGTTAACTCCGCAAAAAGAGGGGCAGACATTCCAGAAAGTGTGCCCGTGCACAGGCCCTGTGGCAGGACTGTGTATGGTGTGTTTGAGGGACTGAAATGAAGCACATGGGCCCGGAGTAGTGCAGATTCCTGGGATGGGAATGAGGCCAGAAGGATTTTCCTTATTAGTCCTTCTCTTCCTGTGTAAATTGAGCACAGACTGAAGCCATCAGCCAGAGGAAAGCCATTAGATGATCGAAGTTTAAAGTGCCAGCTGAGAGTATGTGTGTAATTTGGAATTGACTCTAATGCAGATTATTATCTAATGCCAGAGTGATGAAGAACCACAACATGTTTTTGTGACCAACACCAAAAAGCAAAATGATTTTGTTCTACCATATGCGTTATTCGCCAGCACAGGTGATTTTCTAGTTGTTGTTCAGGATCTGTAACGGTTTGCTTTTGTTTTCGCACACGGTGTTTCTTACGGAACAAGGGGCAGGGGGTGGGTAGCAAGAAGGTGCTGGAGCTGCAGTCGAACTGTGAGAAGTGGGGATGGCTTGCTGCGAGGTCCCCTGTGATCTCACTTGTTTTCAGCATCGTCTTTGACTCAGTTGCCAGGCAACAAGTGCAGTTGAACATAACTCTTCCAGTCTCCACGAAAGCATCAAGTAACATTGCTGTGGTACTCTGACGTGGTCACTGGTGTCAACAACTTTTTCGCCCCTGGCAATAGGTTAATTCTTCCCTTGAGCTCTTTTAAGGATTGCGCAGTAATAAATTTGGGTGAGTCCAAAATTGGAGGGGAGTTTTCCTCCCTCTCTGAAAAACAGTGAATTCCAAAGTGTATGTGGAGAGAGCTGCCAAAGTTAGAGGTTCAGCTTGAGCAATGCCCCCCTCTTCTTCACCACCCCCCAACTTCTTTGACCAATATCCAGATCTAGTAATAACCAGGTCCTTTTAAACTAGGAGCACCTATGTCCCCACAACCTCATTTATCCCGAGTTGGGGAGGGGGCAGAACATGTCAGAGGATGAGAAGAAGCTCTGATAATGGGTGGGGGGTGCAGGGGAAGGCCAGAAGCTAAATGAGGTGTGTTTAATGACTGCTCAGAGTCCCAGGATAAATGGGTAGAAATCAGTGTGATTATAGGTAGCTCTTTGTTCCTCAAAAGCAAGATCACTGAGCTTTTGTCCCAGACAGTAGACCCTAATGCATCTCGAGCGTACACAACTCAGACCCCGGGACTGTTTCTCTCTGCGTGTCTGAGGACAGTACTGGGCCTTCCTTCCTCAAATGATTTTAGGTCATAACTGTCATCAGAATTCAGGTTTCTGGTTTCTAGCTAGAAAAGGGGTAGAGATGAAAGCTGCTTAGTTAGAGGCAGGCACACTGGCATCAGCATAAAGAGGCCCAGAAAATCATAAAATGGTAATAGCCTAACTACAAACTTGGGCAAGAGTAGGGGCAAGCAGCCGTACGTATTCCTGAGTAAACTCTGAACCCTCTCCAGGATGCAGGATGGAAAGAGACAATTTCAAACAGAAAAATTCATCATATGCTTAAAATAATTTTTGTAATATATAGGGCTCATTTTTTTATTATCTGAAAAGTACACTTAAGTGTTAACATATTCCCAGAAAATGTGGGATAAAGGAAGTATTTTTGAAGACATGATTATTTGGGTAGGTTTGTATGTTGTCAGTTGTACAACCAGTAAGGATTTTTCTATCTGCTATACTTTTAAGAAGGGAATGGGCAAAGGAGAATATTTTCTAGCCTCAGTAGGAAAAAAAGATTATCTCCAGGTACCAACTACAACAGTCGACAGTAAATTCAGTCAACATATTTTAAAAAATTGACAGATCCTATATAAGTGTGGATTTTAGAAAATGATATAAAATTTATTTAATGAGGGGCGCCTGGATAGCTCAGTTGTTAAGCCTCTGCCTTCAGCTCAGGTCATGATCCCAGGGTCCTAGGATCGAGCCCCACATTGGGCTCCCTGCTCAGGGGAAGTCTGCTTCTCCCTCTCCCATTTCCCATTTCTGTTCCCTCTCTCACTGTCTCTCTGTCAAATAAATAAGATCTTAAAAAAACAAACAGAACACTTAATGAAGGAGGACGCTGTTAAAGGTGTATTTGTGAAGGGGTGCTCATGGCTTACGCTCACGTTTTATGCAGATTATGCTTCCACAGTCTTCGGGTGAGGAACTCTGGTACCTGCCGCAGGGCACTGGGCGTCCTCTGCGAACAGTGACCTCTGCTCTGTGTTCCAGGCTATAGAGAGCGCGATCGGTGGCAATGCCTACCAGCACAGCAAAGTGAATCAGTGGACCACAAACGTAGTAGAACAAACTTTAAGCCAACTCACCAAGCTGGGAAAGCCATTTAAGTACATCGGTAAGGCACCTCTGCCTCTCCTACATACTGGGGGGGAGGGTTCTTGAAGCACTGCTGAGGGGCGGGACTGGTGTCAGAAGAGGTGCAGCAGCGTGTGACCTCAGAGCACATGCGCAGCAGTAGGGGCAAGGTCCCCATGCCGTGCGCGTGACCCCCGGCGGGCCTGGCGGGCAGCTGGAACAGTTGCAGGGCGCACGTCCGGGACTTCCCAGCACGTAACGCCAGACGCTTGGAGAACAGGCGCGGGGGGTAGGGCAGGGCAGGCTGTGGCGTGCCTCTGTCACAGGGCCAGTCTGCGCCGGTGACTGTTCCCATGGACACCTACCACGGGATCCACGTCCGAATGCTGAGAGTACGCGGAGAGAAAGGTGTGTTGCCAAGTAGATTTCTCTAACAGACGTTTGTTGTCATTGAAGTGACCTGTGTGATTATGCAGAAGAACGGAGCGGGGCTGCACACGGCGAGTTCCTGCTTCTGGGACAGCTCTACGGACGGTATGGTCTCCCCTTTGCTCCGTGAACGCTTGTCCTGGGCCTTTCCCTGAGGCCGTGTGGCGCCTCCTCCACCCCGCTGAGACCTCGAGTTTTCCAGGCAGGGTTTTCTGAAGCACGTACTTGGAGGTTTCCGGTCTCGGGATGCATGCCTGCCAGAGCCCCCTGCTCACGCCTTGCAGAGAGCCCAGGCTGAGCGGCCTTCCCTGTTGGCGGGCCGTGCAGAAGCGTGAGAGGTCGGGGCGGCGCGCCCCCGGCTCCCCGGGCTGAGCTCCGTGCCTTCTCCCCGCAGGCAGCTGCACCGTGCGGTGGGAGAACAAGACCATGTACTGCATCGTCAGCGCCTTCGGGCTGTCCATCTGAGGCTCGCCGGCCCTCCGCCCGTGCCTGCGCCGCCTCCCCACGGCCGCGGGCTCCGGCCAGCACCTTCCTCCTCCTCTCTCTCGTGGCGCTCACCGCGTCAAGGACAGCCAGGTGACTGCCCTGTTCTGTGAACGGCACAGCGAAGTCCGAGGACTGTCATCCTGGGTGCTCAGGCCTCTGCTGCCACTCTCTTAACTCTGAATATTTCTTTTCCAAAGGTGCTAAAAACTGAAATCTGCTAGTGTGAAACTTTCTCTCTCTCAGATACACTAATTTTCCATACTTTGTACTTTGGTTAGAATAATAAATTATTCCACTTTGAAGTTTGTGTTTTTCTTCAGAGTCTAAATGATACCACAAATGAATTCTTCCGACTTCACTAGTGATTTTAGAATCTATAAAACTGCAAAAACAAGAAGGAAAAGTTACGATCTGTGTTGGTCCTGTCGATTGCAGGGCGTGCTGCGTGGCCCGGGGGTGCAGGGTCCTGCAGCTTCCGGGAGGCGGCCAGCTGGTCCCCGCTGCGGCCGGGGCTCCTGGCCGCACGCCCTGCTCGGGCCGTGGCGCGCCGGCTTCTGCTCCAGCCTCCTCCCCGCGTCAGCTGCAGTCCTCCAGAAACGAGCTAGTGCTGCAGGGCCTCCCACATGCTCTCACCGTCATTCATTTTGTGTCCATACTAGGCCCTTATTTATAAATCAGCGTTACACAGAAACCCCGTTGGGAGGCTATCTGATGGACTGAAAGGTGTTCTCTAAGGGGGGAGGTAGGCCCCAAGCCTCAGTCTGTGACCTCACCTTCAGCCCTCATCCACGGGCCACGTTCACAGAGGAATAAAGATAGGCTTTGTGTCCACTTGCTGAAATCAAGAAAGTTCTACCTTTGGCCCTAAAGCACTCATGCCTGAATGGCCAAATGAACACACGCAGGAGCAAATAAATGCCATAAGAAAGGACTGAGTATGTAAAATTCATTAATATTTACCAGAAAGGAAGTTTCACAATGAAGCCATTCCCAAGTGTAAGTTTGCCATAAATAAACATTTATTCACTTTTGATTGAATACAATGATCGTTCTGTCATCAGGGGTTCCTGTGCTCATGGACACAGTTCCAGGATCTGTTACACAGTTCTAGCTTTCCCTTTGAACTTCAAGTTGTTATTATTTTACAAATATGTACAATCTTTTTGTAAAAAGGCAGTTTTCAGTAGCAGAAAATTCTGTTTCACTGTGTGGTATCATAGTTACCAGTATATCTAAAACATGTCAAGTCAACATGAACAGGGTAACAAGATGTCACAGACTAAAGCGACTTCCCTTGGGCCTGGGGAAAAGGTGTGTAGCTTTTTTTCCCCAAAAGTCTAACCTCTAGGGCAATTGGTTTCTAAAATCTTCAAAATACATAAATATTCTTTAGTGACTTAACTCGTACTCACTAGATGTCCCTTTTCACTATTCCGTCTCTGAGCTTCCATGGTTTTCCCTGGGAGGAGGATTCCAGGAAATAAGTCACTGACCATACATACCGTGACCGACTTAACACAACTGCGCCTTCATTAAGTAGTTCATGGAATTCTTGAGCCTGGTGACAGTTGTCTTGTAACCTGCCCATTTATTTAGTGGGCTGGGTCTACGTAATGTATCTAAACTTTTATTGCAATCTAATTATGTACAGGAACAATCTTACAAACCTTGAATATATTTTATATATCCCCTTCTCTAGCCTTTCAAATGGGGCTTAAGAGAGAGAAAACTGCATCACTTCACTGCTGTAATGATTTAATAATAAATCAAGCTGACCTATTACCCACATGGATAATGATGCTCTCCCTAGGGAAGCTGAATACGTACGGTCATCTTCCAGGTTCCCCTAGACTGGACCAGTGTAAAAAATTATCCCAAAGATGATGTTATTCAAGCCATTACCATGGAAGAACTAAAGTCAGCCCTTTGAATTTACAACTGAAGTTTGCAAAACTGATACTCTCCAAGAAAAAACAAAACAATTTTCTTGCTACTGTCTAAAGTTTCTGGCAGACTTTAGTGTTTCAACCTAATACCTACGGCATATAGACTACATGCTAAATGCTGTATACTTTAAGCAAATTTTTACATGGAGTATGTAATATGTTGATACATATGACACACCGGAGACTGAAAATGCACGATTTAACGAGAATCATTTTCCCCTTATGTACTTCCTTTTACCATTTTTTTGTTTCCAACTTAGTTACAAAAAGTAAATAAATACTCCCATATTTTCATTTCAGTGACTTGATGCCGTGAAGAATCAAATATGAAGGTATCAGTCATCAGTTTATAATATAATTATACTACAGGACGCAGACAGGTGTTAAAAAGTTCTAATGTGTATGGCTAAATGCCTCAAATAGTTTACATTTACCGATAAATAACAGCATTCCAAATTATGGACATTTAATAATAATTATAACTTGTAAACTATATCACATATTAGAATACATTAATTAGCACAAGTTTTCATCAATTTACATTAAATTATACTTAGTATAAGTTGAAAAAATTTGGTAAAAGAAAAACTTTTCCAGTACCTTGGAGTACACAGAATCAAAAAAGTCATCACACCATTGAAAATGTAAAAACCATGTAAACTTGAATTACCCTTGCAATAATAACAGTTGTTTTAATTCAAACTTTTATATTTACAAGGTTTTAAAAACAAATGGAATCCATATTAAAGGTACGTTATCACTAAAGTTTAAACTAAACCGAAAGATGTGAAGTCGTAATGAGAAGTCTCTCATGAACCTCCAGAAAGGCCCAGCCTTACCTAAAGTGGAATCCAATTTTGAGCGACTGAGAGTTACTGCATAGATGGAGACAACGCAGGTCCTGTTGCGGAGTGGCACAACCCTCTCCTACCCGCTGCGTCTGTCCCGACGCCGTCCGTCAGGGGCTCAGCTGTGACCGTACGTCAACGGTTCAAGAGAGACGTTACTTCAGAGGAAAGGGAAAGGAGATCTCTATACCGGACTTATACTCAGTCTTTGACGTAAAGGAACTGGCAGCTCTCCAGGGCCTTCTATGATGCCACAGACTGAGCAGCTGGAGACAACCTTCCTCTTTGAGAGCCGGCCCTCTTCTTCCCTGGCCGCTGGAGGGCGGGGCACGCTTCCCAGCAAGTGACCTTCTACCCAGGGATGTGCTGCCATGAGTCATCAAAAATGTTTTACTTCCTTTCATCTAGGCTTCAAATGTGAAACTGAAAAACTTTTTCACAGTAAAGAGACTAAAATATATCAACCCTTTGTTTAGCTTTCACACACACAAAAATCCCATGGAGTGTTCTCTCTAAAGGAGTCGTAGAAATGACAGCTTACAGGAACTGTAGCGGATACGCTCTTCCCCATCCCAGCCACAGTGACAACCGTTCACATTCACGCACGTACCCGCTCACATGCACACGCGTGTACACAGTCTCTTGGAAAACTATGGCAGCAAGACCTCTTCCCTGCAGCTGGCACTTGTAGATTATCTTACCCTTTCCTTAGGAATCTCAGCCAGGCGTCCTCTGAGCCCCATGACCCGAGCTCTGCCCAGTGGTGGTGCAAGACTAGAACCTGCTCGCCCACCACTTCCCTAATAAGCCATTACTCAGGCATTTCACACCAGAGACAGGAGTTACTTGTCACCTGGGAGGCTTGATGGGGCGCTCGATGGGGAAGGACTGCCCTCGTGAGACAGGCACAGAAATAGGCTTCCCTTTGAGCTTAAAGGGCTGAAACTGGTACGGGGCAGGGAAGAGAGAGGAGAACGCCACCATGCTGATGACCGCATTCATGAGGGCTTTCTTTCCATGGACTCGGAATTAGCAGATTATTGAAAAAAAAAATAAATAACTCTACTAAAAACAGGAATAATTACCTCCTCACCACTAAAAATGAACTCTTTCTCATCTGAAATCTTTGAAAAAGGATTTGGCTGTTTACACTTACTGCGCCTCTCTTCCCAAATGCAGCCAATCTAAGTAAATTTGGCCCAATGTTTAAATTTCTCCTTGGTTTTGGTTTTCCTTTCAAAAATACATAAACAGATGAGGACCAGGAAATCTCTGCTTACGAGACAAGCCCAAACACCAGCAGGAGCGGGGAAGGCCAGGGAGCAGCGCCTCGGGAAAGCGGCGGGCCTCCAGCGGCCCGGGGCTCAGTCGCTCTCGGAGCCCTCCTTGTACTGCGCCCGGATGGCCTGGCCGTTCTGCAGGGGCATTTCTTCATAGTCACTCCTGTCACAAAAGAGACCCTTGATGCCATTCGGCTTTTGATAGCTCCTCCTCTGGTCTTCTCTCCCACACTGATGTGCCATTCTGGCAAGAAGGTGTTTCACAGCCTTGCGCTCCCCATTTCTATCGCCCACGGCCCGCTCCTCGCCCCCCAGCAAGCACCGGGGCCCACCGCCAGGAAGAACAGGTCCTCCTGTGGTCACCGCCCAGGTGAAGTGTTCAGAAAAAGGGAATACCACTCAGTCTAGTCAGAACAATGTAAAAACAGAACCTCATGGGATCGCAGGAGACTCCCAGGTGAAAGAAACATCATAAAGCCTTGAAAATCATTTTAGAATGACTGGCGGCCTGTTCAGTAAATGCACAAGAGCAGGCCGAATGCTCAGGGAGGCGGTGACTCACCCGTAGATCACGTCATCGTCCGAGTCATTCAGCATGGAGAAGGCAGGGTTGTCTTTCAGCTGGGACTCTGGAAGCCAACAGAAGCATTTTTATGCGATTAGCCCGGGCAGGCGGGCTGCTACAGAGAAAGGACAGGAGCCCAAAAGAGCGGGATTCCAATCCCAGCTTCCACTGATCATTACCTGTGGGACCTGAACAAGTCTTGCCTCCCGAGCCCGTTTCTCACGTGCAAGTCGGGGGCAGCATCAGACCTAGCAGGCTGCTGGGCAGACCGAGCCGTGGAAGTGCCCGGAGGCGCCCTTGAATGGCAGCCGCGGGCCGGCTACTTCTCCTGAGTCCGTGGGGGTCACGGGGGCGGAAAACACCGGAGACCAGCGGCGCCCACCTTGCTTCCTCCCACCCCTGGGAAGGACATGAGCCCCACCGTCCAGTCTCCTCATCTCAGCGGGGACTAACCGCGCCCTCATCGCTGAGCCGCGGCCAGGCTCGCAGAACACGTTTTCACGAAGGCACTTTGGGAACCCACACAACATGGAAGCCAGGTGGTGGGTCAGAAACACTACATCGCTTTTGCTGCCCAAGCTCCAGGACGTCCCCGTCCTCTTCAGCCTGCCTCACAGTCCGGCTCCTCTCACATTCTGGCTTTCCCTGAATGGCCAC